TGAATTTTGTGAATCAAAGCTGACTATTTTCAAATGCAATTAGTGTTTTCTTTTTTAGTTTGTTCCATTGCATTGTAAAATATCGAAAAGTATAAAAAACGCAGCATTCTGTAGGTATTTTATTTGACCTTCTGTTGGTAGGATAACTTCGATTTGTTTACGTAGTTTAGAACCGAATTTTACACTCTTGCATCCTTGCTCCTGAGGTTATTTTACACGGCAAAGTTTCATCCCCCACCGCCCCAAAGGGGCAATTTTTAAGGATACGCAATTTTTCACGTCACAGTTGATTGTCAAAGACATGTTTTGTAGTAGTTTCGGCACTAACCCAAAAAAGTTAGCTAGACACAAATTTGTCGGTAAAAAAACAATATTTTTAAGTTGAAATTACGTTGAAATCCTAAAACCAAGACTGAAAAAATGGAAAATGTGGAAATTCCATCTGAAATTTTAGAAAAAGCTAATGCGGCTACTGATATCAAATACTAAAACTAACAATCCAAGAAACGATTTTGAGTTAATCCAATTGAATTAATTAGAAAATATTCTAAGCTAAGGCCTCAAAATGTGCAGCATAAAAGGTTCTTTTGCAATTTTCAAAAGGGATAATGCACACGTCAATGTGTTGGTATTAATAAGGTATCAAAAATCCCTAATGTTGTTGCGAGATTTTTGGGCTCGACAGATCCTAATTTATATACAGGGCATGACTTGCGTCGCGCATCTGCAACTCTCTTGGCCAATGCTGGAGGGGATATTATAAGACTCAAACTCCACGGTGGATGGAAGTCATCTACCGTGGCAGAAGGTTATATAGAATAGTCAATTTCCAACAAAATTGATATTGCTAAAAAGATACAAGAGGTGCAGGCTCCTGAAGCAAGCACAAGCAAAGGGGCAACCTGTTCTATAAATTTACCACAATCACAAAATGATTCCAATAATATTCTGGCATCAAATTACGGCTTTACCATAAATGTTAATGTTAATATTAATAAGTAGGTAGATTGTAAATATGTAGCATTTTAGGTTATTTGTTGACTTATTACTGTTTCAAATTGGTTTATTCCTTTAAAACCAAAGAAATTATAGTATCATTATATAACCAAGTGTTGGATAAAATATAAAATGTAAATGCATATTTATTTTGAACCTGTAATAATTTTTTAAAGCACCAACCTGAAAATTTATTGGCATTTTCCTGCAGAATCTAATTTGAAATTCAAAGGTACTTGTTAAAATTAATTATCCTTTATATACAGGGTGTTTCCTAAGTACGGTCCGTAACTTCTGGACACAATTTCTTATGGTATTTAAAGAAAAAAAGCCCTGTAAACATGTGGCCAGAAGATTAGTATTAGGCAAAAAATTCAAGACAGCTTTTTTGCTGTAAAATGTTAGGCGAATCCGAAAATAATAAAAAAATTTAAAATTCATTGGCGTTCTACGTTTTATGACACAAACGTCAACTGACTCACGCCTAACTACGCCACTGGCGGCAGATAAAAATTGACTTTATACTAAAAATGCAGCTCGTTACCAACGTACAATACCTGCCAAATTTTAAACCTAACATTGACTGTTCCAAATTTATTTCGAATATTAATATATTTTTTAAATTTTCAACATCCTGTATTTCGGAATCTAAGCGGTTCCGGCCACATGTTTATAGGAACTTTTTTTTCTTTATATGCCCTGAAGTGATGGATCGTATTTAGGAAACAGCATGAATAATTAATAAATGTAGTGAAGCTCTTTCTACTCAATGCCAAGACCTGCTGTTTCGGAGGTACATTGAAAATAAGACACGAGTATGTACGGAAAAAACACGTTTAGCTCTTGTTGTTGAAGGGAACAGCTACTTTGCAGGCTACTGCCCCGAGCAGCATTAAATTATACCCTCACTAGAAGTAAAAGATAGAATCATTCGTTAGCGGTATCACCAGACATATCAGTTTCGAAGTTATTAGTTCTCTCAGTACATCATAATTGAACCAACCGATAAATGATCCAGTTATTTTTTATCTTTAACTGCAGATATAGAATGGATACACTAATGCAAACAATAAAAGGGTCAAAGGAATTTCCGAAATTTTTCCGTGATTTTTGACAGACTGTAGTTAGGTGAAAAATTGTCGTATCGGGAATTATAGGAATAGCGCGACAAAAAAATTTTGCATTTTTAGGCCACGGATTGGAATTTTTTTTTTCAGTTAAGCTATTGGGCCAGATGTTTATTCAGCTTCATTTTTCTTTTTTTTTTTAATTTCGATACGACCATTTTGCATCGAAATATCGGACTTTTAATGGAAAAGGATCCTTTTGTCTTCAATCATCGATATCTCGGCGACAAATGGTCGTACAGAGAATTGAAGGGCAGTTTCGAAAACTGGAATAAATTTCCTATAACATGCTGCCGCAACTCTTCGGGAAAAAAATTTGTTTCATCTTTTACACGAACTTTAAGAAACAGGAAAAAAAAGGTAATTTATGGTTTTTCGGAAAATTGACGACTAAATTAGAAATATTCACGAAATGACTAATGTTAAGCATGACTTTTACAGTTCTATATACCCAGAAGATCACTGTGAAGTTTCATCTCGATTTAGCGAACCGTTTCTTTGTTTCAAACAAACTTTTGAAAAAATTAATGGGTTACGTTTTTTGAGCTTAAACACTTCATAATCATGATTAAAACGTTGTGGTAAAAATGTGAGAAAATCTCAAAACAAAATTATTTTTCCATTTTAATCATGATTACCTATGAAGTGTTTAACCTCGAAAAACGTGACCCGTTTATTTTTTTTCAAATGTTTGACTGTTTGAAATAAAGAAACGGTTCGCTAGTTCGAGGTGAAACTTCACAGTGTTCTTCTGGATATATCGAACTGTAAAAGTCTTGCTTAACATTAGTCATTTCGTGAATATTTGAAATTTAGCCTATAATTTTCTAAAAAAAACATAAATTACCCTTTTTTTCTGTTTTTTAAAATTCGTGTAAAAGATGAAAAAAAAAAAAAAATCCGAAAAGTTGCGGCAGCATGTTATACGAAATTTATTGTCGCCGAGACATCGATGATTGAAGACAATAGGATCCTTTTCCATCAAATGTCCGATATTTCGATGAAAAATGGTTGTATCGAAATTAAAAAAAAAGGAAATTGAAGCTGAATAAACAATGCATCCATGCAAGTTCGTGGAGAAAAAATAAAATATTTGCAAAATTATTATATCTACTCCATCTGAGTACGTCATTCGTTAGTTAGCTTACCTCTCGTATACTGGTGAGAACTCTTAAACTTGAAACTGATATGTGACTTTTCTGACTAATTACTTTATATTGCGGATATAAATCAATGCTGGTCGGGGCATTAATCCGCAGAGTACTTGTTTCCTGCAGTATCATCAGTTATTGTGGTTAATTGGTGGGTTTGCAGTAACAAGCAAAACTGCCTATTGCTTTCTCAAAATTTCGTAGATATTTATCATGTTTTGAATTGAGGAGTGGGAATAATTAAAGACAATTTTTAATTCTTGCCTGTTATTAATTTGAATATCTCAAGGAGTAATCCATACTTTCATTAATTTTGACTGCCTTACACTTGAGTTCTATAGTGTACGGCCTCCTTAGAATCCCGGTACGGTAAGCTTTAGGAGCTTCGTGTGAATTGCAGCGTAAAAGTTGTATGCGAATGATAGCGAATGATGCTTGGTTTAGTAACTTTTTGGAGAATTATAACTCGAAATGCGTTTTTTTAAGAAGTCATGAGCTCTATTAAATTACTTACGTTGTAATACAATCACACACATTTGCTTATACAATATTAATCCTTGAGATTCGGATCAAGAACACACTCTGGCCAGGCAACCTTGTTCTGGTTGTTAAACTGCGAAAAACCTGAGCTGGCGTTCATACACTGATTAGGTGAATTCCTACGGACGGCCTGGTGCAAGGTGCGGCCTAGATCCAGAACATATGAAATTTGAAAATCTGCGTCATCAACGATTACGCTCGTCTCTGAGGGGTTGAAAGACTGCGCTTGATTTTGGTTAATATCGACCTTAAGGTCATTTAGGAGCGGAAGTTTGAAATCTCTAGAATATTTTTATGTTCGAAATTTTTTGGAAAGGGTGGTGAAAAATTGTTCCTTGCGCTTGTCGACGACCTCAAGGAAAGATCGGCATACATTGTCCTCGTCGTCCGAGGGAATGGAGGACTTTTGGCGGCAATCGTCTGATTCATGTGGCTTGGCGGGTAAATTTTTTAAGAAGATGCGTGAAATTGTTATCTTCTTACCGCGCAATAGAGGAATACAGCGCTGTGTCGCATACGTGTCCGCATCGTTTAAGGCATAGATACGACGCGTTGTCAGCAATCAGGGCTTCCTCGTCGTCGAAATATCGGTGAAATTTAATGTCGCGGGAAGCATCGGAAAGATCGGTGAAAAGTTTGCTTGGTGTGTGCTGTAGATTTCTATGCGAAATTTAAGGCCGCCCTGCATACTACAACACTATCCCCGACTAAAACTTAACTCTTTTCGCTGTCATAGACACACCTCACTCTTGTTTTAAAATATTTATGCGACTGAACGTACACATTTGTTAAAATAAAAACCAACATAAAGGGGACGCACTACACTTTGTATCTCTAAAAAACGCGCTTCCAGACACATACACATATAGATAAACTTGCTATATTAATTTACGCCGTAAAATTCGCCATTAAAGTTTCACCATAAATTTTAGTGCCGCCCTGTATATTGAGAAACTGCATCCAGCAGCCGCTTCTATCTAATTCTTAACACAGTTCAGTTCCAGGAACAACGGCGTTCAATCAGCGAAAATATGCAAATTGGCCGCTCGAATCCAGAATTCGGGCTAATTGAAACAAACACTTCTCAGAATTAATTAAGCATTCACTGTGGAATTACGGGAGAAATAAATTAATTAAGGACGTCTTCAGTCACGCGGATTTAAGTAAGTTTTCTGTATTGTTTCAGGTGTTATTACCACCACTTCCAGGAAATTGGACAGGGAGGCCCAAGACGAGCACATCTTGGAGGTGAGTAGTAATTTTTGCTCATTTTTTGCTTCTCTTAAATTGATTGATTTCATTTAAATCATTTCTATGTAGCTGATCTACGCAAAAGAAATTATTGTTTTTTTAAATTAAGAAATGTTCTTTAATTCTAGATTGTAATGTACTGATATTATTTTTAAAGAAATGATTTATTTACTTATCTGTCTTTAATAGAACAATATTTGTACTAAACAATCATTTTATTTGTAACAAATAACAAGTTTATTGTAAGTAGATTCATATTATACACAAATAAATTACTTATCCGTTTATAATATGAGTATATTTATAATAAAACAGTCTATTTATAATAAATAAATCATTTAATTGGGAATAACATGGACATATTATAATCGCTGCGAGGTAAAATTTCGTCGTTTAAACAAAAACTTGAAGGAAAAGTATTTTTTTATTTAAGATTATGGTATGCTCATACATATAGTTATAAACAAATAAATGTATTGTTAATTCAAGGTAATATTTTTTCTGAGTAGAAGTTTGGATTCTGCTATATCAAACAACAAATACGCTCAGAAAATTTGACACCTTTATTGAATTTGTTCAGACAATTGTAAGTGACGTTTACAAATTAATGATCGATAAGTGATTATGATAGATTTAATAGTATATTATATTAGATCTATGGCGATCACTTACCGATTAGGGGGCGGTATCTAATTTTTATTAAAGACAAAATTAAAATTACAATTTGAACAGTTATTAAAATTTATTGGGACAACGTTCTTTTCTAATGATACTGCAATATCACTTTCTGTCACCTTAGAATTCCTCGAGAATTTCCATGAAAAATTTGGTTTGAAAATTGATTTTTATTTTCAAATTTTCGATATATCCCTCAGCTACAAAGGACGAACACCACCCACTATGTCTTTTAAGGCATAAAATATCCATTCAATGTCATTTATTTTCATATTATATAGTTCTTTCCTTCTGCACACCCCTGCTATTCCAAAAAACTTGTACATGTGTTCTCTGGTAATAATTCTTTTTTTTTTTACTATACAGAGTGTCCGCAAATTTCACCGATAACGTTTGACTGCATATTCACGACGATAAATAAATACGTTCTACGAAAAAAAGTTAAATAAAAACGTTTTGGTTTTTGAGTTGCAGGCCTTCAAAGTTGTCAAAAATAAAACTAATTTAATCAATAACTTCGATACGATAAATAAATACGATCTACGAAAAAAAGTTAAATAAAAACGTTTTGGTTTTTAAGTTGCAGGCCTTCAAAGTTGTCAAAAATAAAACTAATTTAATTAATAACTTCTAAACCCTTTTACCGTTAGCGTTAAAATTTGGCTAAATCTTCTGACACTCGTGGATGGATTTTCATAGAAATGGTTTAAAATAGTATTCAATCTTACTTTATCCTGAAGTGGGGCAAAATGTTCATCAGCATAAGTTGGAATACCGAAAGACCCAGTTTATCTGAGACGACTGAATGTCGTTGAAAATGTTTTCCTTTGTTGGTAGTCTGCGATGAGGAAATCTTACTGCATATTCACGGCGAGCCGCCATGGCATTTCCATCACAAAAACCATATACAAAGACCATATCAGCATATTCATTGTTCGAAAATATGGACGGCATTATTAAACTTTTTATTATTAGTTTGAACGCTTTATCTAATGGATAATTTATGCAACAATTCGTAAAATAACATTTAAAACGTCAAATTAACATTGCTTGACAGCAGCCTACTCGAAAATTTTTGTTGAGGTTCATTTTAAAGTTTATCGACAGAACCCAGAAGCATCCTTCAGAAAAATCAATTTTGCCATGAAACTATAAGAGTTAGGAAAAAAAGTGAATGTATACTTTTTGTCAATAACAAACTATCTAAAAACAGCATCATTTTTTATTTTCATCAGTGGAGCCGCATTAATTTTTTTTTATAATTTAATGAGTGAGTCCCCACAACTCGGCCACTGGTTGCTTGCGGGGCTTCTACTTCTATGGAAAAATGGTGTCTTATAAGAAGATGTGGCATGCCAAATTTGGCTTAAATAGCCTTCTTCATTTAGAAGTTATTTAAAAAATTCGAATTTAAAAAAAATCTTTAACGCCCTATATTTCGAAAATGAAGCGTCTGGAATGCTTGATTTTTTCTTATTTTTTTATGAGAAATATCTCCTTAAAATTTGTCGACTTAATCCTGAAACAACCTGTATACTTATACATACATATACTACTACTTATACTAATTTTTTTAATTTTAATTAAATTTATTCAATATTTGGGCGTGCAAAAAACGTCATAAGCACTGCGGTCGTTAAGTATCTTACTGCTTCGTCTCGATCTCCAAACATATCCTCAACTAGTAAAGAACACTTATTGACCTTAATACTAAGTTGTAATTAAGGGTTGAGTTTAGTTAAAATTAATTTTGATTGAAAATTTACTCAATTTTTTTACGGACTGCATTAGTTTTTAAAAGCACAGTGAACTACAAAGAAATTTTCATTCCTTCCCAAGTATTGTAGATTGTAATTTTAGCATGAATTTAAATACATTTTAATCGCCCAGCGCTTCGTCATGCTTAAGAGCAACCCTCCTAAGGGAATTAAAAATCACCGTCGTAATCCAGGCGGCGACGCGCCGCTGCTTTGTTTTAATTGTTTAATTAGTACCATCTCGTAAAGCAGCGACCCGGTGCATATATCATCGCGTAATTGCAGTAGCTAGCAGATGGCCTAAGTCCGCGATTTAAATAGTCGTTACGTTTATATAAATGACTCGCAGCATGCTCATAAATATTATCCGCGTGTAATAATGGTTTTCTTGAACGTTTCTGCGTAAAGTACCAAATTTACACATGCTGTATACTACCTTCAATTTTCGATGTCGTACCTCGTTTATTGTTAAAGATGGAAAGTTACAATTTTCGTGGATATTTTTGAGAGAAATTTTCAGGTCAAAATAGTTTTTCGGTATGTTTTTAATAAACAAAGCAAAATTAATATTTTGATGGCTCCGATGACTTTTTCTGAAATGTTGATACACGTAAAAATAGAAAAGTGTAAAAACTTTCACATTGCGTGTAAACGGTTTGTCTCGAACATTATTTGTTTTTAATAGTATATTACGTAATAAGTGTTGTAAAAAGCATTTTACGCGCGAATGGAAAAGTTACGCACGACGCCGCGTAGCGGCGAGTGCGTAATTCTATGAGTGCGTAATTGCATTACACCACGTATTACGTACTATACTTTACCTACGACCACTACTTTAAATGCTTAAAAACACACCGTCTGCGATCAATGCAAGATTCCTCTTACATCATACGGTAAAAAAATCGCACAGCTTGGTAAAAATATCGCACAGTTTTCCTAGCAACCGCCTAGCAACGGTCAATGCAAACAGTATTGTATTGACCGTTGCTAGGCGGTTGTTAGGAAAACTGTGCGATTTTTTTACCGTACGTAATAGGAATCTTACATTGATTGCAGACGGTGTGTTTTTATGTATTTACAGTAGTGGTCGTAGGTAAAATGTTGTACATATTTAACTTTACTAAAATTCAGTTAAATATATTTACTTAATACTTTGCTGTAGGATACACATAATTGTATTGAATAACGACTAATAAAATCTCAAAATTTCGTAGGCTTTCTACGAAAATTTCTATGTATTGTAACGTTTGCGACCACAGTAAGTATAGGAAGAAAACAGTACAATCTTAAAATAAAACGCAAACGTCATTCAAGTAGTCAATAAACGAATTTGGAAAACACTGTTAAATATAGTTAAAACTTACTCTACTACCTCTTTTCATGTTATCATGTTACTTATCAAAGGTCTGAAATTAATAAAATGTTCTGTAGGAAAAATATAAGTCACCCATTCTCGAATGCCTAAAAATTAATAAACAATAAATTACGCAAGATATTTGTAATTGTAGTCAGCTACAAAGTTCTATACCATTTAATATAATTATTTGCAGACTATTGCATCTGATAAACAAACAGTATCTGCAATATTTTGTCTGTAACCAACAATTATAATATTGTATAAAAGCATGGAAAATTGTTTAGTCTTTCGAGAAAATGGCGAATGCGCCATTGTTACATTCAAAGTTGTCTGGAATTGTGTAATAATATTTATTAGTAAAATAATTTCGTGACTTTAAAATTTGAACGATGGTAGGTAGTCGGGAATAACAAAGAAATAACAAATTTACTTCCTATTTATTATAATTATTCTGAAGAGATTTCAATAAGATTCCAATCTGCATTTATATACTTTCCCACTACGAAATTTCCTGTTTAATAAAAAAGTTCCTTAAAAAAATGTTAATTTTACTGCTCCTGCAGGCACAGCTGATTGTTCATTTGTTTTTCTCTGAGTTATTAAAAAAACTATTGGGTGATAACTTAAATAAGCAATAAATATCTGAAATTTATATGTAAAATTTGTTACCGCTATCTTTGATTTCAAATTTAAGTTTGTATAAATGTAAATGAAACTAAAACTTCTTATGTCAATGACAAATATACTTTAAATATTTTGTAGAGTGCAATACTTAGTGTTTTTAATAGTTGCTTGTTGTAGAAAGTTATTTGAATAAAAAAACACTCCATGATTTTCATTAAATATTTTCCTACTGTTTCCCTTAAGTTTTTTTTCCGAATTATTCGGCTACCTACGAGAAACGCTATGGAAATTTCTGTTTAAAAGGTTTACTTTTATCTTTAGAGTTCGGCGTAATAAAGATAATCTGGTTTTAAGCACAAATTCCTCGTGCTTTTTTATGATTTAAGACTCAATTTTGTCTTAATTCTCCTGTGTCTCAATTATGGATTTTGAATTGTTTAGATTTAAACAATATTAGCTTCTGCCTATAACAGATACGTTATTCGTAGCAAGAAGTCGAGTTGTATTGAATATATAAACAAAATAATTTTTTACTTTAACACAGTTTCGATTTATTTCGATGTATTCTTCAGACAGCCCACAAA